TCTCTGGCGGCGTCTGGCATCCGGCGAAGGCCCAGACGAGGCTGGGGTTGTGTATGCACTCTGGGGTAAAACTGGTTTATATCTAGGGAAAGCATGTTCGGGCATGCCCATCGGAGGCGTGCTCAGCACCGTCTGCGTCGCAATCGTGCTCGGGCATCAGGAGTTCCAGTTTTTCCAGGACCACGCCAAGCACAGCAGACTTGGCTTCAATTTCTCGGGTTGGCCGGTCAAGTCTTGCATCTCGTGGCGCCGGTATGTCGATGACATCCTGGCGGCAAGCCGGTGTAGGTGTTGTTCATGCATCATTGCCTTCGTCCAGGAGTCGTTCCAGGAGGCTCTATCCGTTGCTAGCCGTTCCGATGCCCCTGGCTGCAGCGTCCTGTTGGTGGATGTCGAATTGCGGGCAGTAGGGCAAGCAGTGTTGGTACTTCCCAAGAATGTGAATCGGCAGCGTTTGCATCGACTCGGCGACCCCCTCGACGGGCCGCTTCAAGTCTCGTCGCCGTTTGTTCCCTGGCCAGGTCGCCCGCCGAGGAGCTTCGCGTGTCTGCGAGGTATCATTGCAGGTCGTCTGGCACGTTGTGAGCAGTTGGGAATTGGCAAAGAGTTTACCACCATTTATCTTATCGAATCTTTCCTTGAGCTCCACATCCTCTCCTACCCCGTTAGCATCATTCGGGCTCTGGTGCACAGTCTGCCGAAGGCGCACCCTGCGGTCCACGCGTGCTGCAAGACACTGCACGTCTGGTTCACTGCCCGCGCCATGGATCGGCGCGACGAGCGCGGGTACGGGCTCGTCGCCTGCGTCTAGGCAGCCATATGGCGGGCGCGGCGCCGCTGGTGGGCAGCAGCATCAGCATCGCGATGGACGCTCAGGCCGTGCAGAGGGCCGGGAGGACCGGCATGGGCAGTGGGACAGGGAGCCCCGCCGCCGCCGTCGCTCTCGCACTTTGTCGTCGTCGTCGGAGGGGTCCCAGGAGAGGCGCGAGAGGAGGAGGATCGCCAAGGCGAAGTCGGTCCTGCGGGCGGCTTCGCCCGGTTACCAGAAGTACGTGGAGGACAAAGAGCGCCAGGAGCGGGACCGCGCCGTGCAGGAGCAAGGGAAACTGCTGGCGGAGGCGCTCGCGGGCAAGTTCGAGGAGGCCATCAAGGCCGCAATCCCCGCCCCGGTCTTCCAGCAGGCGCCGCCGGGCCAACCTTCGGCGGCAGCTGGCGGTGCCGGTGGCAGAGATGGCTCCGTCACGCCAGTTGCGTTTCTGTCTATGGACAAGTTGCGCTGGCTGGAGGCGGAGCTCCAGCACAAGATCAAGCTCAAGAGCGGCGAGGAGGAGAAGTTCGTCGCAGCCATCCTCGCCAAGATGGGCGACAAGACGGTGGTGCAGGCCATCGCGAACATCTTCAAGCGCCACTTCCCGACCATCCAGGTGCCGCGCTCCAAGGACGCGCGCGTGCGGCTGCTGTTCTCGCAGGTCGGCCACATGAGCTGAGCCCCTACCCAGGCAGAGTCCGACACATCGTCGGATGAGGAGGTGGCCACAGGCAAGGAATCCAGGGTTCGTGTTCCGCCTGCTGCTGCTGCTGCTCCTTCTTCTCTTCCGACGCGTGCCCTTCACCAGTCAGGAGGCGTTGCATTCTCTGTCAGATTTGTCGTCGTCGTCGTGTGCTGCGTGGCCGCCGCTGGTTTCATACTCGGCATCTCGTGCACGGATTCGGAGAATCCGTTGCTGTACCAGTTGACGGCATACGTCAAAGCACACACGGTGCATTGGCGCGAGGCTCGCCTGCTGGAGGAGATCGGAAAAAGCGTAGGTTTTCCCATTACGCTCACAAACTCTGCTGAGTTTAACTTCGCCACTGCATCCACTTTCGGCGCATTGGCGACGTGGGTTCGCATGCGGCGGCGCTCGAATCTCCAATTGCAGGACTAATGTGCGACTTTCGTGCGGGGAGGCTGCGCGCGTGACGACTGTGCAACTGTACAGTCGGATTTACTGCAACCTTGGCACGCGGGTTGGCCCGAAAATGCGTTTCAAGATGCTTGGGATGAGCATCGCCGAATTCTTCACTGCTGCGTCTGTCGGCCTTGGAGGATGGGTGCCATGTATCCGCACGGGGTTGCTTCATGTGTTTTCTCAAAAATTACGTGTGGGGGCTGGTAGAGAAGATGCGGCATGGCACTCAACCCTACCGTAGAGGCTCGCGCCGGAGGGCGAATCCAGGAGGGCGGCCAGTTTTCGCAAATTCCTGTTGTGAGTGTGGGGAGCAGGATTTGTCCACCTCTTTCTTCTCTCCCAAGCTTTCTTCTTCCCCCCCCCCCACTCCCGCCTTCCCCCTCCTGGCCGGCGCCACGCGCAGTCTTCACAATCGTACACCCGGGGGTAGTTCCATTCTCTTGCGGCTGCCATGGGATCCGAGGCATGCCAGTTCATCTCCATCCCGCTATTCCTCCACCTCCGCCTCGTCCTCTTCGTCTTCCTCATTCGAGCGCCCGCTGGGCGCCAGGTCCATGATTAGGTGGCGCAAGCGTGATGTTTCCATTCCGATGGGGGCGGGCGTAGTGAAGCCGGACGGGTGGAGCAGATTGGAGGGCAGACGGGAGGGGCAAACATTTACTTTAAATTTGTTCGCCTTTTTTTTCCAGAAGCCTGCCGCGCAACGGTATGGGGCGTTACGGCCAAGGTGGGGGAGGACGAGCGAACGAGGAGGATGAACATGTCAGGTAGCACATCTTGTGGTACGGAGCTCGCCCCGCCGATTCCCTTCTCTGCTCTATGCTCTCTCTCTCTCTCGCCCGTCGCTCCTGCTGTCTCCAATCGCGGTCCTGTCCGTAACTGTTTAGGCTCTGGCTCGCCGGTGTCGCACAGGTGCTCAAGTCATCAGCGAGGGCCTCGTTGCAGAGCCGTGGGGTAAAGAAGCATCCAGCCTCTTAGCCGAGAAAGGAATCCCCCTCCTCCTTCCTCTCCTCGGCCGTGAGGCGCCCTATGCGCATGGTAAAAAAAAATGTGCCCAGGTCTCTTTCACGCATTGGGGATCCGATCGTGCATCTCTACGTACGGTGGCAGCGAAGTGCAATGTCTTGCCGCGGGTCGGCCCCGCCTCGCCTGCTCCCGTGTGCCCTCCCCCTGGTGCACCCCCAGCGGGGCTTCCCCCCGCGCCCCCGCGTCCACATCCTCGTTGCCAGCAGGTCTGGTCAGGTCTCGCTCCGCACAGGTTGCTTCTCGGAGGCACCTCGCAGGGGGCTCATGTCGAAAACCCCACACTGGGCGTGAATTGCAGCGCATGCCGTCCGTCAGGGCCCTCACAGTTGGCCAGGCTTCCGTGCTGTCACATTGCTCGTCTGAAGGGCACGCAAACTGGTGCGTTTACTTCTGTGGTGGCGTTTCCTTCGCGCATTTCTGCACCACGTGACTGGGAGGAACGTCGCGTTCCCATGTGCACTACCATTCTGGACAGGCGATTTCCCGACGCCGCCCACACTCATAGACGAACTCTGACTCAACCGTGCCGTGCTTTCTGCGTCGCGGGCCTCCCCCGCTTCCCCACTTCCCACCTCCGTGCTGGGGCAGGAGCGCTCAGGACAGCAGCCCTCGCACCTGCACTCGCACGTTTTCTCGTGTGGACAACGAGAAGAAGGCACGTTCTGCACAGAGTGCCTCTTTGAGTTCAAGTGCCCACCATGGACTTACCCAGGACCACGCTCCTGCTGTGGGGGGAGGGGGGGTGCTCCCGCCGCCTCGTCGCTGTCCCAGTCTCGGACAGCGGCCCTCTTGGCAAGTAGAATCAGCTAGTTGCGAGCTCTCTGTGAGCATCCATGCATCTTCGCTCATGGGCACGCGTTGACCGCAATGCCACGGTCAACCACCACCACCTGCCTCCTCCCTCCTCCTCTGTACCTTCTCCTTGTGGATAAATCCTCCTTGTCGCACCCCCCGACGTGTCAGTAGTAGGCGGACCGGGCGTTTCGCCCGACTTCCTGACCCCTGATGACCGTGAAGCGTACCATTTGCAATGGCTCGCGGATGGAAGGCGGCTCGTTTCCGAAGTGTGGCTCTATATCGCCGTACCACTGTGAATTTTCGTCTTCAAAATTTAAAAGAACAATGTCCAGACTGGAGGGCGGGCCGTTTACAAAATGTGGCTCTAGCGCCGCGCGCATTCGTCTTAAACGCTAGTTTCAAAGACGTAGGGCGGCTCATCTTCAAAATGTGGCTATCGATTTAGCGCCGCGCACGTTCGTTGTGTAAGTTCACAACATCTTCAAGGGTTCATGGGTTAAAGTCCCAGAGATGTTCTGGCACAGTTTAGGGTTTTGGACTTGTCAAGACCCAATCGTCACAGTGGTTCGCGGTGTTGAAGTCCCATGACCAGCGTCCTGTTTCGATTTAGACTTGTCAATACGCAGCAGTTATGTCGAATCGCGGTGTTGGAGTCTCACAGACGGTGTTCTGGCTCTGGTTACGATTGTCAGAACGCAACAGTCCCCGGGACTCGCGGCGTTGAAATCCCAGGAATTGTGTTTTTTTTTTCTGGCACGATTCACGATTCTCAAACGGTTGCATTTGAATGGGGCACTTCCCGGAAAATCTTGTTGGGATTTCAGGAGAGGGAACGTGGAGGAGGCTTGATTGCATCATCCTTGACGCGTCTTGGATTTCTTCTGGTCCTCCCTCTTTTCTTCCCTCCTACCTCCGCCCTTCCTCCGCCCCCTTAAAGGTCTCCTAGATGGGATCCGGATAGATGGGGTCGGAGGATCGCGCCGCATCGTCGATACATCGCAAATGCACGGGAGGTGCATCGGCGATGCATCGGCAACTTCGGCGATGCATCGGCGACTTCGGCGATGCATCGTCGACGCAGGCGTGAAGATAAACGGGCTCCACGTCGAACCGCATCGCCGATGCATCGGCAATGCGGCGCGATCCTCCGACCCCATCTGCTCCGACCCCATCTGGGAGGCCTCGACCCCTGCTGCCCAGCGTCGCCCCACTCTTCGGGCGGACCTTGCCGCAGACCTGACCCCCGTCCACGCTCACCAGCTCCGAAGGGGCCAGTGCGCCCTCCAGCTCGTCCAGCTGCCTGGGCCAGCTGGGGGGGAGGCAGGGCGAGGCGGCGAGGAGGGGTACCAACTCGGGGAGGAGGGCGGACGAACAGGGTGGATAGCAAAGGGGGAGGGGAGCGAATCAGCTTACCTTGGCCTGGATGCAACCGACGAGCCGGATCGGATCTGCAACGGATCGGATTGTGCACGACTTGTCGTGGACTCGGATCGCTTCGGGTCGCTGATCGGGCTCACCCCTGCACGCCAGAGGGGCTCGTTTCGCACTGAATCGGGTCGAAATCAAGATCATCAAGAACAGGGGATCTGATCGGATCGGGTCGGACTGCGAGCAGCCTTCGCTGCATGCACCTGATTGTTCCGGCGCCTCCCAGCGCCAGAGGCGGCCACCAATCGAGGAAAGTGCGTGGCGGCGGAGCTGAAGCCAGCTGTACATAGTATGTTGCGCACCCCCACTCTCCCAGTCCCCACGGTCGACAACCCCGAACGCGGGCATGTTTCTTCCCACGGTTTCGGCCTCCAGGGGCCGATTTCGGACACCACGGCCCGACGAAACCGAGAGTTCCAGGGGCCTGGGTTGCGAAAGGGACGCGAGGCCAAAGGCCCGGGAGTCCTCTCGAGTGGCACTGGACACCTGCGAACTACAGCCAATCCACGCGGAGTCTCAGCTGCTCGCCACCAAGTGGCATGGACGAGCGGGCCAAGCGCTTCGCCGACGGGGTGGCCGTGCCAGCTGATGCTCGTGGAAACGGTCTTTCATGCTGTCGTCAAAGGTCCCGCTGGGCTTGCACGAGAGCCCCGTCACCGAGGAGGAGGACCAGGAGCCCACAAGAGCCCACAAGAGCCCCCAAGAGCGCGTTCCTTTATTCTCGGCGATGACGGGCGTCATGGGGGGGGGGGGCGAGGGGGGTTATGACGTAACGCCCCCCCCCCCCCGCCGTGTGGCTCCAGCACCACACTCGCGCCCGCACGCACGACGACGATGAGCGACGAGCGACGACGACGACGACGCGAGCCGATTGTAGGTGGCGATCTGCCCCACAGCGCTTGTGTACACCACAATGCTCGCGTGCACCACAGCGCGCGAATATACCACATCTCCTGTATACCGCAACAGCCGTGTGCAACGCAGCGCCTGTGTACCCCACAGTGCTTGCGTGCACCACAGCGCCAGTGTACACCACAGCGAAAGTGTACACCGCAGCAGCCATGTGCAACACAGCGCCTGTGTACACCACAATGCTCGCGCGCACCGCAGCGCTTGTGCACACCACACTGCCTTTTTGCACTACAGCATCCGCGTGCAACGCAGCGCTGGTGTACACCAGCGCCTGCGTGCACAGGACAAATAGAAGGAGCACGCTGGTGAGGATCTGCTGCGGACAGCCAAACACCACGCCAAGGAAGTGCTGATAAGCGACGTTCTTCCTCCTCCCTCCTCCACTTCCACCTCCTCCACCTCCTCTTTTTCCTCCTCGTTTTCCTCATCCTCCTCCTCTTCCTCCCCCCATCACCCTTCCCCCGTGTCGTGCGGGTTGGCGCTACAACGCAGGTGCACATCTCAGCGTGCACCTCAGAATGGTCTATTGAATCAGTCCACTTGGTTATCGGACGGCCAATTAGCTGGAACTTCATGGATGCAGATGGAAAGAATTCAGATGATGCGGGCGGACGCGGGGGGACTCGTAAATTCCAACGGCGCCTCTTTTCCTCATTTCCAAATCCTCGATTAAACAAATGTTTTTGGTAAAATCCACAAACGCTTCATTTTGTCATAAGAATACCCTCTAAACTTCTAAATGTAACAACGGTGTTCTGTTGCACGCGGTTACTGTGGTGCACACTGGTACCGTGGTGTACACAGGCACTGCAATGCACGCGCGCATTGTGATGTATACTGGTGCTGTGCTGCACACGGCTGATGTGGTGTACGCAGACGCTGTGGTGTACACAAGCGCTGCGGTCCCCGCAGGCACTGTGGCACACACTGGCGGTGTGTTGCGCGCGGCTGTTGTGGTGTACACACGCGGTGTGGTGTACCCAGGCGCTGTGGTGCACACAGGCACTGTGGTGTACACAGGCACTGTGGTGCAGATCGCCATGTACACGCTGCTGCTACCCGTCCTCGGTCATTCTTGGGCATTCCCAGACGCCGCCGGCGCGAAACGTGACGTCATCGGCCCCAGATGATTGCCGTCATCGGCCAGGTTTTAAAACAAACAAGCTCCGGCCGCGTCCGCGCCCACGACGACGATGAGCGACGAGCGGCGAGCGACGAGCGACGACGACGACAACGACGACGACGACGACGATGACGATGACAATGACGACGACGACGACGACGACGACGACGACGACGACGACGACGACGACGACGACGACGACGACGACGACGACGACTGCGGACCAGACTCCTATGCGGATTCCTATGCGGATCCCGATACGCACGGCGGCAGTGCCTGGAGCGCACTGGGCCCGAGAGCGTTACTTCATGGGGGGGGGGGGGGCCGGGGGCCATGACGCACATCATGCCCTATGCAGTAAAGAAATACGTTCCAGGCTGTTCGCGCCTGCGGACGTGGGCCAGGAAGCCAGCGAGCTGGAGCAGGAGAGGGGCCGCTGGTGGAGAACTTCCTGCGAGCAAGCGAGGCTGTGGTGGTCGGCAGGCCTCGGTGAGCGGCCGCCTCGGCTCACCGTGGGAGAGCTTCTCCGTGTGCTCAGGACCTTCAAGAAAGGTTCCAGCGTCTCCTTCTGCGCGGTCAAGCCGCGGCAGCTCGACGAGTTATGCGACGCTGCGCTGGAGGTGTTCACCGACGTGCTGGTGGCCGTGGAGCGCGACGCGCGGTGGCCCGAGCTGTCCACCAAGATCGGGCTTCTAGAGAAGCGGTTGTGCGGCGTGCGACTCATCGCCATCATCACAGTCCCAGCGCGCGTCCAGGCGCGCATCCGTCGGCCCATCGCCAACAAGTGGGAGCGCAATAACGCCAGGCCGAATTGGTGGGCCTGTGCTGGGCGCAGCTGTGAGCGCGCTATGTGGCACCAGGCGGCGATGGGCGAGTGGGCCACTGAGGAAAGCAAGAGGGCGATGAAATCTCTTGGGTTGCTGTGGCGGTGCTCCTGGACCCGCTCAAAGCGTTCGAGCAAGTGCGTCACCGATGGCTGCTGGACTCGGCCCTCCACGCGGGCTTCCCGCTGCGGCAGCTCAAGCTGCAGGTGGAGCTTCACTGCGCGCCGCGCACCTTGCGCCTCGGGCGGGCTGCCTCCAGCCCCATTCTGACGAGGCAGGCCGTCCTGCCCGGTGATGGCTGGGCGACGTCCTTCCTTGCGTAGGCTGGTGCTGGTGAACCCGCTCGACCGCCTGTTGCGCCTGCACCCCACGGTGTTGCTGGCAGTGGTCGTTGACGACCGGATGTTCCGCAGCGTCGGAGGCTTGGCGCGCGTGACGCGCGAGGCAACTGCGGCTGCCTTGCAGCTCGAGGGCCTCCCGGGCGAGATCGACCTCTTCGTGGCGGTCAAGAAGTCTCGGGCGCCAGGGAATGTGCCAGCTGCGCGCGATGAGCTCGAGCGACGGCTGCGACGACCTCGGGAGGTCCGAGCGGGGCGCAACCTTGGCGTTGACTTCTCAGGCGGCAAGCGCCTCGTGCGCAGGGTGCGTCACGAGAGAACGGTGCAGGCAGGCGTGAGGACTCGTCGCGCCAACGTCCTGAAGGTCGGCAGGGAGCGGAGGCAGGCCGCCGGGCAGGTCGCCAGGTCGGGCGTGGAGGCCGGCGTCTCCTGTGGCTTCAGCGTCACGGGCTGAGCCGTGGGAGAGGTTGGACGAGCCGCGCTCGAAGGATTGCAAAAAAACCCTTCGGGTTTTTGTTGCAATCCTTCGGGTTTTTTTGCAATCCTGCGTTCTCGCCGCTGTGGCGCCGAGCGCTGCCGGGCGTCCGAAGGCGCTCACCCTGCGCTGCGATCCGCGCGACGGCTATGCTGCGCGCGGCCGGAGAGTCGCGGTTGCCTTCCCACGTCCTCGCGGTCGGCCTGGTGCAGTGCGACGCGGACTCTCGGCAGCAGGTCCGCGGTCCGATGTCGTTGCCGCGCTTCGGCTGGGAGATCGTGGACGCAGCTACCGGGCGTGCGCATGAAAGCGCGCTGCTGAAGCTGCTCGACGTCTCCCCCTGGATGGTGAAGCGGCTGCTCTGGCCTGCCGTCGAGGCTTGGCAGCGGCAGCAGGTCGACAAACGCCCCGAGCTGGAGCATTTTCGGGGGCGACAATGGAGGCGATTAGTTAGAAGAAGAAAAAACCACACGCACATAAACATACGGCGCTCCGCGCGGATTTCTTGGATTCGCCCCTGGCACGCGGAGCGCGCCAGGGGCGGCGCCGGAGGCGCCTCAGGGGGGGCCCTGGCGCGGGTCCGAGAAATCCGCGCGGAGCGCCAACCGTTTATGTGGTTGTTTCTTCTTCGATGAGTCCATGGGAGAGCAACGCATGTAATTATTCAGGGGCGCCGATGGTCCATGCCGTCGGCAAGGCTCCTGGGCGAAAGCGTGTAATCTCTGCCACTGGGCTATCCGCCCCTGTCGTCGCCTGCGACACCTGGCTGGCGGCGGCGTGCCGCGGGCGCGGTGGCCCGACCGGGTGCCTTAGGGGCGCGCGCTCCTCCTGCTGGCGGGGGCGACGGCCCCCGGAGGCCTGCGAGACGCGCCAAATCCAGAGGCATTGAATCGTGAAAAATCTTTAGATCCTCCCCCCCAATAGGGAATAACTAATTCTTCCGGCGGCCTTACATTGAAGGACTGGGGCCCCACCAACGGGGAGAAACTAATTATTTCTTCCGCGGCACCCACCCGCCGCGCAACAACAACGACGATAGCTACGACTATGATTGCGACTAAGACTACGACTACTACTACGACTACGACTACTACTACTACTACTACTACTACTACTACTACTACTACTACTACTACTACTACTACTACTACTACTATTACTACTACTACTACTACTACTACCACTACTACTACTATACTA